TATTATTATCTATTACATATATTATAAACTATTAAAATAATCGGCAATAATGCCGAAATTTCCAAGAACGATTACATTCTTTCATTACCTACTTTTAATATCGTTATTGTCTAAATTGAATGTTCATTTTATTATCGACGTAATGTCTAACATTATACGCATGACCACAGTAGTATAATAATAATGATACGTAATTTAATATAATACGTAAATATGTATAAAATAATGTAAAAATAATAATGTGTTTGATATATAATATTACACAGGTTATATACCTATAGGTACCTTTATACATAAATAATTAAAATTTTGTTTTTTTTAAACCCTCTCTATTACGAAAACTCTCTATAACGAAAGAAATCTCTTGGTCCCTTCAGATTCGTTATAAAGAGTTTTCACTGTAATGCTATTTATTTATTATTATATATTAACACTGACTCAATATTGGATTTTAGACACATATTGGTGCTTTCATTTTATTTTTAGAAGGCCTAAAACCCCAAACAAATGACACACCTGGAGGATTAAACCGTCAAATGAATACATTTTATTGTTAAATAAACTGAAAAAGATTATTAGTAAATTAAATTAGGTTAGGTACATATTTTAATTTTCAACTATAAAAATTAGTAATTATTTACTTATTAATCAAAGTAAATACATTAGCACAACAAATAATTGCCTATTAAAATGTGAGTAGTATATACTGATACAGTAGTAGTAGATCAACAATAAAAAGATAATTATTTATCATAAAAAATAAGAAAAAAATATAGAAGATGTTAGATACTTTAAAAGAGTTTTCCTGAATTTCAATGAAATACAACTTTATACAATTTTACGGCATTTAAGTAGTAAAAAAATACAAAATATATTCTTTAGCATAACACAATAATTGTTATTCAGTCTTTAAATTATTAAAGTTTAATTCATTAACATCATAAGAAGAAATGCAGGTATTCACATAAACTTCAGGAAGATCTCAAATTAAATATTTTTAACTATCCAATACATAAAGGAACACACTTTGTTAGTCCTCATTCGTATACCTTCTTTTAATTTCAGAATAATTAACTTTCAATTTCTTAGGCTTATAGTTAGCTGTTTCCATATGTAAATTAGGAGTAGTCAAGGATCTCCTGTTGTACATCATAATAGGTTTGCTTTGACTTTTGCGACAACAGTAGCTGCTTTCCTCAGAGAACCTTATTATTGTGCCAAAAATAATTTCATTATAGAAACATTTGTAACAATGAAAATAGAAAATGAAATGTCACAGGTATAGAGAAATTAATATCAAATAGTAAATACTATATATTTATAGACTAACACAATCTAATATATATAATATATACTATATATGCATAACAATTACGTTTATAATTGATTTTATATATTTTACATAAATATACACCATTAAAAGTATCATCTACACTGGGGGATAAAGTAATGAATAAACTCACTATATTTTCTGTGATCACATATTGATTAAGGAATTGTATACTTTTGAAGCATAACATCAAAACCAAACTATCATTCATATAAATTAAATACATTATATTTATTCAGCAAATAATAATAATAATAATTACCTTAGTGAATAAATAGTTAAACATTTTAAATTACTTAATATGAATGATTACCTTGTCATTGACTCTTTGTAATCCAAATCATCAATACCAAAACGTTCCCTCAGATTACGAAACACCAATGGACAGTATTCTTTGATTTTAAAATGGCTAGGCATATTCTCCCTTTAAATAAATATAAACATGATTTAGGTATATCAAAAAATTATATTTCAAATATGAATAAATACTAACTTGTTAAACAAATGGTTGTCGACTTTGACTTTAGAATACGCTCGAAAATCATCAGGAAGTAGCATCACTGGTATTGTTACATGGCTCAATTCATTAATCTATAAAATTTTAATTAATGATTTAAATTTTAAACAGTTACTTACATTAATTTTTATAATTATCAATTAAACACAAAATTATTAATAATATTATGTAAGTAAAAATTGTAAATATAAAAGTAATAAAAAAGTTATAATTGTAATTACAGCCAGGGTCGATTTGTAACAGGGTGTAGACATATTATACATACAAGCAGTGGCATGGTTGACATTTATTAACAATGATGTACAGCAGTGGTGCCGAAAATGTGTTAAAATGTGGTCGGGCAATTTTAAAACTTCCCGGCCTCAATATCTTAATTATTTAATATAGAGGTACGCTAATATAAATTTATTCATAATCACAGTTTAAATTTACTCATGCTTATAATAAAGTTATGATGTAAATTAAATATGGCCGGCCGGCCACATTTTTCAAAAAAGAGGTCGGGCCACAGCCCGACGTCAGCATGGACTTCGGCGCCACTGTACAGCTTAGGTTCCTAACCTTCTTAGTTGTGCGGACCACTAATTATGTAAAAACAACTTTTAGACCTTACCTTATACACGGGTATAAAATAAAAACACACATACATAAGACAATAGAAGCAATATAGACGATATGATGTTATGCCGATTAAAATTTGTTGACTAAATTTATTTTCATAGATTTTTGTCAACGATATTATGTACATACTAAATAGGCATTCAGGTAGATCCTTTCTAGATAGGCATTAATTTTAATGTTTTCATATACGTCATCCTTTTTTCTTGTATTATTGATTTTAATTTATATAATATCATTGACTATTATTAAATTACAAAACATGTACCTATTACCTAATACTAATATATTTTATTAAATTTTTAATTTAAACTGATACTGAAACTATAGTTATTGTACATTAAGTAAGCATTAATTTAAAACATCCAAAAGATAAAATTGATCATAATTACCTATAAATATAAGATTTTTAATTTTAGTTGTAATAGTAATAATAAATATAGTATACGACAATGCTGCTAACTAAAATTAATGAGGAATCACAAGTTCTAAATTATAATAAATGCTTAATTAATTTATCAGCCTTGATGTTTTATGATCAAACTAGTATAATTCCAAAATAAATGTCGTAGAAAAATGTAGGTTGATTAAAATATAACAGTCTAGTAAGGCTGAAGGAATTGTTGGTTGTGTTGTATATTTGTTTTTAATTAATGCTTATTGCTTCTAATGGAAATTCTGGTTTTAATTATTTATCATTAGTCCATTAAATGTTTGACTATAAAATTAAATATTATGGTTTTTGTTTATTATTGTCTATTCTAGGGCTATATCTCCTAGACATTTTTAAGTATCTTATATACCTACTATAGTACTATTAAACTATGCAATACAATAAAATGTACAAAGTATAAAATATTTAAGTTAATAAAAAAAACATATAATTTACAATAGCTTAAATAAAACTTCAAATTGAATATGATAAATAATAATATAATATTTGATCAAAAATATACTTGGATTATTTTTGTATGGGTTAATAAACCCTAATATTACATGATACATCAAATAGAAAAGCTTTCTAACTTTCAACAGATGCATATAAATAAAAACAGACATAATTAGCCCAAAATATATCATCAAAAATAGAATATAATAAAGCTATTAGTAGTAAAAACCTATTCACCATCCTATGGTACAGACTATTCTAAGGTATATATAAATATTTTTGAAAAAATGGATTGTTTATTATAATTTAATTATTTAACTATAAATTAACACAATGCAAATAGAAAACTTAAAGTTATAATAAATAAAGTTTGTACTTGCTTCCAACTGCAAAAATTTCCTCATATTAGACCTCTTAATTTTAGATAAACAATACAATATTTGGGCTCTATACATAATAATATATATTAATATATCCCTTAATATATTATTATATAGAATGTAGTATGATAGGTACCTATATAATCATACTATTTTGAATATTCATACATTTTTTAATAACTATTTTAAGAATTAGTAATTGAAATATACGTACTATTTATAATATTATTATACCTAGGTAATACTTAATATAATAATATCATACAAATTTTGTTGTTAAATATTAATATTCAATAATGGTATTGTTCCTACCAATATAAAGTGTTTGTTACAGGGGCGTATTTATGGGGGTGGCTGAGGGGGCTTCAGCCCCCCCCCCCGAAATCTAGGAATTGTTTATTAAGTCTACTTATTATGTTCTACTAGATGTAAAATCGTAAAAGTTCAATATAATTTTATAAAGAATTATTATTAACAACGAACAAGTTATTCATATTATAATGTGTCAATGACGATTTTGATCGTAACGATTATATCTTTGAGTTACTGATTCTTCAAAAAGAGCTAATAGCCTTTTACATTGTATTTGCTACTTTAATTTTTTAATATCTATTTGTGTGTCTAGTAAATTATTAAGTTATACTTATAATTTATCATAATATTTACAAAGCAAAAATATTGATTTATTTAATGCTCTTAATCAAGTTTCCGGTGTAATTTCTGTGTTTCAAACCATTTAAAAAAAAAATATCCATTTAAAATAAAAATGGTAAAATCAGTAGGCGTAGAGTGTACCTTGTCATTGAGTAAGTCACTATAAGTATATGTTTAATTGGAATTTAATGATAAAAAATTGTTAATTGATATATTGTTATAAATGCATATAAACATTATGACATGTTGTTTTTTCCACAGCAAAAAGTGTCTATAAACAGCAAAAATACATATCATTGTAAAATCTATCAATACATTCATCGCTCCACTCAAAATCTAAAAATATTTTTTCGGTTAGATGATTAAGTTCAATGACAAGCATGAATAATTTTAGAAGGTTGGATTTTAGTTATCTGACTACTCAGTAATCATCTTTATTTATATTTAATTATTTTTCCATAACCCTTTTGTTTTTAGATGTATGATATATTACTCATTAGCCAATAAACATTACTGATTAGCAAATAGCAATTTCATTATTCTAAAAGGGAAATAGGTATTTGTATTCCATGCATAAAATATTAAACCCTAAAAAGATGAAGTAATAATCTTTTACATGACAATATAATTCATTCCCAAAAGAAAAGTATCCTGGCTATATCCATAGTTTTATATAGATATTAAACAAAAAACATTTAAATACAACTAAGACAGAATTATCTGGAGCAGGTTGACCAGACCACATAGATTCTATAATTTTAAATACAAAAATGTATTTCAGATCAGTTTATTTTAGGTACATTGGTTTTTAATGGGTTGGGACTTTGGGAGTCTTGGATTAGCCTCTAACTGCCACCGATGACTGTACTGTGATCAAACTACACAACTAAATTTGTTTTCAAAAAAACTAAAATTATAGGTATATATAGGCTAATGTTTGTGAAATAATTAATAAAATATCACATATAGTAATACAAAAGTAATCTATATTAATTATTTATTAATTCAAATTATTAGATATATGATAGATATCCTAGATCAATCACCTTTTTATTATAATTGTTTAGGTACCTACCTACATTTAATATGCCTATTTTGTACTGTTAGTGTATACGATATACCTATACTCTGTCTCAAAAGAGAATAATCAGAATGTCATCTAATATTCTCGTCAGTGTTCACATCAACTACTCAGTCACTTGGTTCTCAACACACTAATTGAATCATATCTGATGGGCGAAAAGTGATTGTTCTCTTTTGAGACAGAGTATACTTCAAAATAATTTTTTTTTTCCTTGAGAATACAAAATATCTCTATAGCTATAATATATAACCTACTATAATTTTATAAAATGTTCTAATACCTACAAATAAAAAGTAAAATGGAAATTACAATAAATTTTAACTCATAAATAGACTATAATTCTATGATTAAATAAATGTTGAAGTACCTAACTGGCTAACTGAATAATCTACACAATATAAAGATAATTAAAAAATAAACTTTATATACAATTAAAAATGATAAGTAATGTTAATGGATAGGTACAATTATAACATATAGAAAAATTAAATCAATATGAATAATCATACACATATTCATTATTATCTAGGAAGACAAATGTCAAATACTGAAATACCTATGATTAAACTGTTTTTGATATGAATATAATACAATTTTCACTTTATTTTAATTTGTTCAATTGAAAATCCTTGAAAACATTTTGAATAGCTTCCTCCTTTCCCTCATTAAAATTATTCTTTGATTAAACTACATACATAACAATACATCTTGTGCACCTCATAATAGTAAAAAATTAGGTGGGATGGGAACTACTTGACTAAATTTTTCAAGACCCACATTATTTAAGAAAAATTCAGAAATAAATAGGTACCTAAAGAATAAATATAGAAACCATCAGGAAAAATGGGAGGTTACCAAATAATAATATTACTATGTACAATAAAACTGATATTATTATAATTAATAGTTAAAATGTATACATACCGTATGATTCACACCCCACATGAGAACAGACAGCAGCGGCTCATTGGCACGGAACAACTTAACCTTCTGTCTCTTCACTCCAATGTGTTTCTTCTTCAGCTTGCTCAGTCCACCTTGTACTACACTCATAGTTATTCCGAGTTATTACGGCAGATGAATAATAACAGAGCTTGGACTGTCAGCGTTGAATGTCAAGTACTAGAAATCGGGACAAAATATGACGGATCCCAAGTTACTCGTACTAACTAGTAGACATCTCAGCGTCACGATTATACTGCATATAAATGTTAAAGGTCCGCATTAGAAGACTTTCATTTGAATTGATCGATAATTTTCTATTTTAAATGATCTGTTAACTATTACGTTGTGCGATAGAAAAATGTTAACACTTAACAATAATAATTTAAGCACTAAACACTAAACATCTAAATTACAGTTCTACTCGACGGCCGACAGGCGACAGTCATTACTTTATCAATTAATTATCATAATGAAACCGTGGATCAATAAACATAAAATTCCTTTTCTTCATGAAAACAGCGATAACGCTTATCTCATACATAACTATAATCAAATACCACAGATTTCTATATATTACTAGATAGCGAACTCCGGTCATGAATTGAAGCTTCAAGGTCGGTTGGCAATTGTATGGTATTTCATATGACAAATAAGATGATATTATGATTTATTTTATATCGTATTTTATTATTTTTAAACATTAAGTTTACAAAAAAAAAAAAATATTTTATATAAGTCATTTTACATTTACTATTTTATTTGACCGTTAAAAAAAATATTATTCCTAATACATTTTGTATAATAAATGAAATGTTTTGCCAACCGAGAAAATGGCGGCCGTTCACAGCTGAGCTTCATTTGTAACAATGTACATTGTATAAGAGTTCCTTATCTAGTGTAGTATAGAAGTCTGTGTCAAACACTATAGATTAGAATCACTGAACCACGGACTAAGATATACAGGACTGGACACGACAAGGTTGGAGGGTGTGGGGGGGTTGACTACGAAATGTTTTACAACAGGCAGTGTTCGGGGGGATATTTTCCTTTTAGCATTACTAGCGCCGTCCTAGTGGATACTTATGGAACTAGAACACATCATACAAATTTCTAGTTCCATAAGTATCCACTAAGACGGCGCTAGTAATGCTAAAAGGAAAATATCCCCCCGAACTCCGCCTGTTGTAAAACATTTCGTAACCACAATATTCATCTCGTGTCCAGTCCTGTATATCTTAGTCCGTGCACTGAACTCAATAATTATTGAGTTCAGTGATTAGAATACGGGAAGCACGGACTAAGATATACAGGACTGGACACGACAAGGTTGGAGGGTGTGGGGGGGTTGACTACGAAATGTTTTACAACAGGCAGTGTTCGGGGGGATATTTTCCTTTTAGCATTACTAGCGCCGTCCTAGTGGATACTTATGGAACTAGAACACATCATACAAATTTCTAGTTCCATAAGTATCCACTAGGACGGCGCTAGTAATGCTAAAAGGAAAATATCCCCCCGAACACAGCCTGTTGTAAAACATTTCGTAGTCAACCCCCCACACCCTCCAACCTTGTCGTGTCCAGTCCTGTATATCTTAAGGCGGGTTCACACTACACCGTGTCGTGTAAAATAATCACGGTTACCACAGTTACCAAACGATACCGCATAGTTGAATATATTCAACTTTTGACCGTGTGGTTACATTTATGTGCAGATAAAGCCGGGTTCATACTTAATGTAACCACACGGTCAAAAGTTGAATATATTCAACTATGCGGTATCGTTTGGTAACTGAGGTAACCGTGATTATATTACACGACACGGTGTAGTGTGAACCCGCCTTTAGTCCGTGGGTTATACCATTGTATGTATTCTGTGGTTAGGTTACCTTTGAGGTTACCCAATGACCAACTTGATATAAACATTGTTCTATGATATAATACTATCTATGAACAAAAGTAAAATTTGGAAGTTAATATCATTGGAATAAGTTGACTTGGAACAAAAAATTGTGGAACAAAAGGTAGTGATCCAATTGAGTACTCTGTACTCTGTAGATACTAGATATTTTTATAAATATTTATTATTTACATATTTTTAAATCAAATAATACCATTGACTATACATAATAATAAAATATTATAAAATATTTTGTTTATTTGAGTAGTCACTATTCAGTATTGAAGACTATTTTAAAGACTTTTTTTGACTGATACCTATTATATAGGTATATACTATCTAGTCACAAGTAACAACTCAATTTTTACTGTAAATCTACTTGTTCAATAGTCATTACATGTAACAATTAATTAATTATTTATTGATAACTATTTTAATGGTTGAAATTTCTTGTAATACTTTTGAACTAACTTCTAATCCATGTGTCCATTGTTATATATGTTAGTGACCTGCATACCATGTCAGAAGTCACAAAACCTCAAGAACTGCTGTCTGCAACCATTGCTCGTCACTATGACAATGGAGAAAATAACTTATCAGCAAGAAATGCATCTCGTATCTTGTACTTACGCAATTTCAACAATTGGGTGAAATCAACTCTTATTCGTAAGTAAAAGTTTTGTTTTGTTTTCATTTATTGAGCTTTTTAATATTCAGTTGTTATTGTTGTTTAGAGGAAGCAGTAACAATGCTTAGAGACAGCAGAATTCATGATGGAAAAATGCATGTATTAGATTTTGCCTGTGGGAAAGGTGGTGATTTAAATAAATGGAGAAATTCAAGTTGTATGGAATATCTAGTAGCTGTAGATATTTCTCCAGGATCAATATCAAATTGTCATTCCAGATACGAAGAGATGAAAGCAAGAAACAGATACTTATTTGATGCTCAATTTATTGTCGCAGACTGCACTAGAGTAATTTATATTTTTTGTTCCCTAAATTCAAATTTTAAACCTGTTTTCTAACTATACATAATTTATATTAATTAAAAAACCATTATACCCATTTTTAGGTAAATATAAATACACTGTTTAAAGACTCATGTATGAAATTACATTTGGTAAGTTGTCAATTTGCATTTCACTACTGTTTTGAAAGTATTCAACAAGCTGAATGTATGCTAAAAAATGTATCAGAAAATCTGGTGAGTGGTGGAATATTTATAGGTACTATACCTAATGCCAGAGAAATAGTGTAAGTAATATTAATTCAAATTAGTTAATTTTAAAAATATTACTTAAAATTAGGTGTATAAAAATGTATTTTTTTTTTTTATTATTATTTTACATATGGGCTGAACCCATTACAAGATGACAGTACTTCAATATTTGTATAAAATTATAGTGATACAGAAACTAGGCTGGCTTATATTGAAAAGAAAAATAAGATTCGGTACTTGCAGTGCGCAACGGATAATCGGAGAGTTAAGAAAATTAGAAGAAAAAGAGAAAAGTAATATGGAATGAGATAGAGGAACAGGTACTTCAGGACAGGACAATGAAAGAGACTCAAAATAGTAATTCAGGGCAGTCAGCCTTATGCTGGGGCCATACAGGATAAGATAAGAAAATAAAATCTCTTTTTCCAACGCAGACGAGATAATCTAAATTGTTTTTAAATTCAGAAACAATATAAAAATCAAACTGTGTAATCACGGTATTAGAGGAAAGAAGGTTTTTAAGAAATGGAATGAGTGTATTCGATCTGCAAATTGTTTTAAGGAAGTATTGCTCTAAAAAAGACATACAAAGATTATTTACATCATGGCAAAGGAGTTTTATAGTTTTCTTTGGACAGTAGTGGTGAAAAAGTCCTTACGAACAGTGCAAACTATGGAATAAAATAAAACCTTAAGGTGAAATAATACTTAACTAAAATTCAGTCGATACATGAATAATTAATACAAGAGTTTAATGGTTTACAACAGATACTTAGTAGGACACAGAGTAAAGCTCAAGTCTAGCTGAGACCTAAGTCACTTTCAATTTTCAAAGGAACATTATTTACAGAATAAGTATACTTAATAGGATTAATTATGGCGACAGAAAGTTAGAACTGAGTACTCAGGCACGTAATCAGACATTTTTCTATAAGGAGGCCAACATTTTTTGGCCCCTTTCTGTTTTTTATACTCAATACCCCTCATCTCCTTATCAAACAATGTCCATAAAAAATAATACTACATTTCACAATATATTATCTGTATTGGTTAAGCATTATATTTTTATTATACATTAATATATAATAACAAAAATATAATAAATAGGTACCTACTTAAGTATGAAAAATTATTTATAATTTTATCAATTAGGTAAATCAAAATGTCATGAATAAAATCATTAATTTTAATTTTAAACAATTTATGAAAATAATGTAGTCACCAAGTACCTAAAATCCAGATATTTATACATTAATACCTCCGATATAATATAATATACTATATTATTAAACTTTATACAGATAGTGTTGAGATTAATAGTGTGCAAATTATAATGCACTAAAACAATATTAAATAATTATCATTTTAATAATAAATAAAATAAAATAGGTACTCTTAACTTTATTAACAATCTTATAGTATAAAATGTCTTAAAAATTTAAAATATGTAGTACCTAATGGCTAAATAATATTCATCTATTAATTAATACAGATTAATATGTACCTACTACCTATCTAATGTTAGAATATCCAAAATTATACATCAATATATTATTAACTAATAAAGAAATAACTACAATAATTAGTAAATATAAAATGTAGGTAAATAATACTTAAATACTATACAGATACTATGGTAGATACTAAATAATATTTATCAAAAGTATGTATAATTATTGTACTTACCTTTCTCGGTTCTTAAGTTGTTTGGGTTATTAAAATAACTTATTATAGCTCTCTTCATTATTTATTGATTCTTACACTTGTGCCTTGTGAACAATATGAACTGTATATTATACAATATATACTGCGACTTTAGCACTCTCCGTGATCAATACTCAAACTCGATAGAGAATAATATTATATTGGGACATATTATTTTGTTAGGCTTGTTTATTTTATTTTATTGGTTCACTATTATATTGTATCATCTGTAGTTGTGTTTATCAAATGTGCGTTTGATACCCGTATTTGGAGTTGCCAGTTTTCAGTCTATTAAGATACGTATTATTGTCTTATTTCAAATTGTCGAGTGACGAATATATTTTATAAAATAGAATCTTGGAATTTAATTTTTGTTATACGATCGTTAACTATATGGAGTACCATATAATATACATTCAGGACTTAGTCGGTTTGGGATAATTAAACACCATAATATATAAAAATCAAAATCAAGGGGGCTAGTTCGGGGCCACTGACTTTTCTTAGGGGGCCAGACCTCCTGAGGCTCCCCCTTGACGATGTGCCTGGGAGTACTGGATGTATTAAGAAAAAGGCCAAAAATTCTCCCCTAGCTACTAAATGTTGAAGATCGTTGTTAATCAGATATGGATTAAGTACAGCGTAAGACTTATATTTAAGAATAAATTAGATTGAAGAACAAGGTTCAAGAAATCCCTGATCCGCATAAAACTTTGCTGCTCACTCACCAAAATAATATGATTAATTGAAAGGAGCTCAAGTGTCATAAATAAGTCTGGTTAAATAGTAATAAGATGGTAATTTTTTTACATATTATACAGAATCACCAGACATCAGAATTGGTCCAAGTTTTAGGATGGAAGGAAAGGTAAATAAATTGAATGCCTAAATAGTAGCTTCTATAGTCATAGAGGCTCTGCTACTATGTTTTAACATTTTTACAAAAAACCACTTTGGATACTATCAGCACCCACAGAAATAAAATTGCGAAAAATATAAAGGCTGTGGTAAACATCAATGATCTGAAAATGAGCATTTCAAAGCAGATCAAAATAGTAGGCTGGAAGAAAAATGTTTTGAGATGAAGTTTGCGGCATCAGAAGGTTTAGAAACGAGGTTTATAATGAGTGAGCAAGGCGCCAAAGAACGAGGAATATATAATAAGGATGACTCATTATAAGTCACATAGTTATAGTGCCTAATGTTATTTAGAGTTAAATAATGTACTAAAGAAATATAAATAATATTCAGATACCAACTGAGAAGATTTAAATTGTGCATGAGCGCAAGCTTTGAAAATCACTTGGTTCTTGAGTTCACAAGTAAACCAGGATGGGAAAGTAGATGTGTGAACATATATTTTAGGAACAAAAGATTAGATTGAGTAGATTCGTAGAGGAAAGCATTTAAGGAGATAGTCTTGGCATTATCGGCTTATATTAAATGCTTACGTTATTTTATAGTCAGCTTCACAGAATTGTATATAATTATGAAAATTTAAATTCACAAATTGTTATATGATATTAATTTGTATTTTATTAATTTAGAAGACGCCAAAAAGAATGTGGTAAAAAACAATTTGGAAACAGTATCTATAATATTGAGTTTATGTGCGACATTGATAAACAATTCCCAATATTTGGTGCAAAATATAATTTTCATTTAGAAGGAGTTGTCGACTGCCCAGAGTTCCTAGTTTATTTTCCTGCTTTAGAAAAGTTAGTTCATTTTCTAATTTATTATTATTTATTTTTAAATTTTTTTTTCAAACAGGTTAGCAAAAAGTTTTGGATTGGAACTAAAAATGAAAATGACATTTGCCGAGTATTTTGAAAAACATTCAAGTTTGGATGTAAATTTCTTAAACCGTATAACGGCATTGGAGGTACCTATTTGATTATAATTTTAGTATTAAAATTTCATGAGTAAATAGTAAATACAAGTAGATAACATAATATGACATATGTAAACATTAAACATAAGTAGATAAAAAAACCAATCAATATACCTATATAATATTGGTGATTAAATTATGACATACCTATATTATGTAATTACTAATTACTTATTAAAAACTGGATGCAAGCTGATATTGTATTATTTTTATATTGATACTTAATAGTTAAAACTTATGTTTTTTATGTTTATTGTTTATCACGTCCTATATCCAGGCTCAGAAACTTGTATTTGCAATATTTCTTAGGAAGCTCAAAAACTGATTTGATATAGATTTGTTTCATTGTACATACAATCGAAATACAAACATTTATGATGCATATTGTACTAAATGTTTATGATTTTGCACGTTTGAAGATTTTAAGAATATTAAGAGGATGTAACAGTGGTATTTGTTGTCTCCGTCTTGCAAGTGCGTAACAAAGCAAATATACGCTCAACAGAACACGTGTAATTTTGTTAGTTTAAATATTAGAGTGAATTGACCTATTATGAAAATTGATGGTAAGAACATTATCTGTGTTGTATTTTTACGATATTTCAAAATTAGCAAGTTATCCGTGTATAATATACCTTAAATTAAAAATGCTCATAACTAACTTAAAACCTGAATTATCGTAAAAAATCAACGTACAAACACAGATAATATTCTTACCATCAATTTTTATAATAGGTCAATTCACTCTATGTTTAAAGTGACGAAGCTACAAGTGTTATTCTGAGCGTAAATTTGCTATGTTACTCACTGGTAAAACGGAGACAACAAATATCCGTGTTACGTCCTCTTAAGTTATAACTTATAATCAACAACAAATATTTTTTTCATTAATTGAAAATTTTAAGTTTAATAATTTATAAACAAAGAGGTTAGCTGTGAGTAATGCTGCACACCTTCATTTTGTCTATATTTTGAATTATATTATAAACCAAGTATTAATTTTAAATATTTGTTATGATTGGGACTCGGTCGTATTTAAAATTTTTTCAATAATAAAATATATTTTATTTTTAAATAAATATAATAACATGATTTAATATTTCTTGTATTTCTTGCGCGTAACTTTTTGAAATCTAAGACCGATAATATAAGATCTAAAAATGAAAAATGTACACAAAAAAAGTGTACCTAAATAAAATATACAATTTTTTTTTTGAATATTTATAATTTTTTCCAAGTTTATTCCCATATAAATACAAATTTTAGAAAAAAATAATTGCATGTTTGGGCATTTTTGGTGCACATAATTTTTGTACATATTCATTGTTTCTCAGCGCATACATTTCCGAGCCCTGATTATCTTTCTATAAAAACCCTATAAAAAAAATAAAAATAATAACTTGGGGTATAAATGTTTTTATACATCATATCTAACCCTATAAGGTATTTGTTTTTTTTTGACATTATATAAAATTGACTTTTTAATTTTTTTCTGTTTTTGTTCGTATTACTATTAAACAGTCAATGTTCCTATTATTACACATACAATATTTTTTTTACACTTTTACCTATATAAATTATTAATCATAAAGATAAATATTAAATGAAAATTCTTATTATTTATATACAACTGTATGTATATTTTTAAATTTTTTGAAACCAAAGATTTGATTCTTAATTACATAAATTAAATTTTTTTTTGTACATCCATCTAACTATTTTATGCTTGGTTAAAACCACCTAAATTACTGTAATAAAAATGTTTTATTTACATTTAATGGAGTTTAAGACAGTGGAAATCCACTGGCATTATTCTATTATTCACAGGTAATGCTGTGCAGGATCAGCTAGTTGTACATGATTATAAATATATAAACCTTATTTTATTTACATTTTAAAATGTAATTCTATTTGTAGGTATATCCTCCCCGAGAAGGAGTTGAACTTATGGGAACAGAAGAAGATTATGATAAAGCCAAACAGTTTTTGAATGAAAATAAACAGGAAAGTGTTGGCACACTATCAAAATCTGAATGGGAAGTTGCAAGTAAGTCTCATTGGTAATTAAAATACATATAAATTATTTGTTCTGTATGATTCCTTTTTTTTCAGCTCTATATATGGTGTTTATGTTTCAAAAAATGTAGCCCAATTAATTGAAGATCTAATTTGAATTGAATAAAAATAAAATGCATGCTATACAATACTTAGTATAATTTATTTATGTATATATTTTTTTTTTATATTAAACAACTTAAGTTGACAATAATAATGTAATTATAATATTTGTTTGTTTGTATTAACTATTTTCTTTCTCTTTGGGCTTTCTTTTGGGATTGGGTTTAATTTTTTTAATTTTTAATCCATGATATCTCACTAAAGGCTTTCTAAATTCTTTGGTTTTGCGTTCCACAGATTCACCTATATCCTCAATGCTTGTTGGTTTAGTATCTATACTAAATAAATCAGTAGTTATTGGTATTTCAAATAGTTTTTCTTCAAGTTCAAAATGTTGTTGTTTTTCAACTACCATTTTTTCAATTGGTATAAATGATAAGTCAATTAATGACTGTATATTTGATGTTTCTTCTGGTACAAAAGCCCTACCTTCACGTGGCTTTTTAAGTAAATAATTGTCAATATTAACATTTACTCTTGAGGGGATTTCTATAGATTTCAATTCTCTCATACCAATTTGTTTAATGTATGGATTTCTAAATTCATTTGACAATTTAATAATAGTTTGATAGAGATTATGCAAGGAAATTTCTGTTCTATTTATTACATCACTCTAAAAAATAGAAATAATTTAAAATTACAATTAATAAAAAAAAAGTAATAAAATTACTTCATAGTTCATACTTGTATATATAGTACAAACCTTCAATCCTAACACTGCAGAAGAAAAACCTATAATACGTTTTGTAATACACTGCATATCTGGGAGAATTAGGACTGGTATTTTTTTTGCAGCAGTCATAAAAAGCAAATGCTTCGCAATCATACAGTTTGCTACATCTTCTGCTATCAAACAACAAGCTATTTGATCTTTTTCAACACATCTACTAACTTCATTGATACCCATTTTCAAAACTGATCTGCAAGTACAGAAATACATGTTTATAAATATTTTTTATTTATTGCTAGATTTAAAATCAAAATCTTATAAATACCTTTGTGCTTTTAAATTAAGACTTATATTATTCTTATGTGTATTGGAAAGATTCTTAATTTCACATTTTCGTATATCCAATGGTAATTTCTTTACAGTAAACCAATTTACTTTTAATTTACCATTTTCTTTAGATATAGTTCTGGAAAAATTAAAGCCATAAATAAACTATTAAACTAGGGTCGATAAACATAACTTGAGTTGTATGATTAAGTTTAGTACAATTTATTAATCAGTAGGTAAATTAAATAATATCATTCAAAAAAATATATGTATAATAACTAGCTAATTCTGTGGTTAAAACTTACAAAAATTATTTTTTACTGGGTTAAATTAAAAATTTGTATATTTTGTAGTCATAATAATATGTCCTATACCTATACTATAAGCCTATACCTATTTAGTTAATACCAAAAATATGAAAGTTGGATACTTACTTTTCCATCTCATCGACCAGTAATTGAGATTTTTCTAAATCTAAAAGTGGCCTGTAAAATGAGAAAATATATTATTAAATACTAAAGTTTATATTAAGATTACACGTCATAGTTGTAGATCTACAGATGGTTGTCATTTTAACCCAAATTGGGCATAATGATATTATTAAACATATCTGAGGGGTAGATAGTGCAAAAAACTAAAACTATCAGTCAAAAAGTGTCTTATCCTTGTCGTTTAAACCATTTTATAGCTTTTATATAATAAATATTAGTAAATATTACCAAAATTTTTCATAAGGATCTGTAATAGTACATCTCGGCCTAATATTTTTTTTCATAATTCCTTTATGTTTCATACTCAGTTCTCTTAATGTCGTCATATTCACGTCTCACGAACGCCGTGTTCTAAGTACTAACGTGAGTAACGTCAAGTTAAATAAGTAAATAATACATTAATAGTTGACACAGACAAGTCAGTAGTCACCAGTGTAGAACCATGTTGAACATTTTGATTTATGAATTATGGGGTTGAACTCTGGCTTTTGGGTCTGGGAAAAAAAAACGCGAAAATATTTCTAAGTCCATATCACATCTATAATATTATCACTACAGCAATACTCTGCAGTGTTGCCATAATAATAATTTTATGTACCACAATAAAAATTTATACTACGTAATAATGGTAATAATCACAAAAGTATTCTAAGTTCAAAATAATCAATTTATTCACTCGTTCATTTTCCAAAGTAATTAAGTCCAAAATAATATTTCAAAAGTGTAAACTATTACGACCACCTAGGCTTTCGGATTTTTAATTTTTCGATTTTCCGACCACCTTGGCTTTTGGGTCTGGGAAAAAATGTCAAAATATCGAAAAACGTCTAAGAGGTTTTTTATTCGTATACTGTATAAGAAAAACATCCGGTAGTCACATTTTTAATTTTTCGATTTTCCGACCACTTTTCACGGACCACCTTGGCTTTTGGGTCTGGGAAAAAATGTCAAAATATCGAAAAACGTCTAAGAGGTTTTTTATTCGTATACTGTATAAGAAAAACATCCGGTAGTCAAATTTTTTATTTTTCGATTTTCCGACCACTTTTCACGGACCACCTTGGCTTTTGGGTCTGGGAAAAAATGTCAAAATATCGAAAAACGTCTAAGAGGTTTTTTATTCGTATACTGTATAAGAAAAACATCCGGTAGTCAAATTTTTTATTTTTCGATTTTCCGACCACTTTTCACGGACCACCTTGGCTTTTGGGTCTGGGAAAAAATGTCAAAATATCGAAAAACGTCTAAGAGGTTTTTTATTCGTATACTGTATAAGAAAAACATCCGGTAGTCACATTTTTAATTTTTCGATTTTCCGACCACTTTTCACGGACCACCTTGGCTTTTGGGTCTGGGAAAAAATGTCAAAATATCGAAAAACGTCTAAGAGGTTTTTTATTCGTATACTGTATAAGAAAAACATCCGGTAGTCACATTTTTAATTTTTCGATTTTCCGACCACTTTTCACGGACCACCTTGGCTTTTGGGTCTGGGAAAAAATGTCAAAATATCGAAAAACGTCTAAGAGGTTTTTTATTCGTATGCCGTTATAGAAAAACATCCGGTAGTCACATTTTTAATTTTTCGATTTTCCGACCACTTTTCACGGACCACCTTGGCTTTTGGGTCTGGGAAAAAATGTCAAAATATCGAAAAACGTCTAAGAGGTTTTTTATTCGTATACTGTATAAGAAAAACATCCGGTAGTCAAATTTTTTATTTTTCGATTTTCCGACCACTTTTCACGGACCACCTTGGCTTTTGGGTCTGGGAAAAAATGTCAAAATATCGAAAAACGTCTAAGAGGTTTTTTATTCGTATACTGTATAAGAAAAACATCCGGTAGTCAAATTTTTTATTTTTCGATTTTCCGACCACTTTTCACGGACCACCTTGGCTTTTGGGTCTGGGAAAAAATGTCAAAATATCGAAAAACGTCTAAGAGGTTTTTTATTCGTATACTGTATAAGAAAAACATCCGGTAGTCACATTTTTAATTTTTCGATTTTCCGACCACTTTTCACGGACCACCTTGGCTTTTGGGTCTGGGAAAAAATGTCAAAATATCGAAAAACGTCTAAGAGGTTTTTTATTCGTATACTGTATAAGAAAAACATCCGGTAGTCAAATTTTTTATTTTTCGATTTTCCGACCACTTTTCACGGACCACCTTGGCTTTTGGGTCTGGGAAAAAATGTCAAAATATCGAAAAACGTCTAAGAGGTTTTTTATTCGTATACTGTATTAGAAAAACATCCTGTAGTTGGATTTTTGATTTTTAGATTTTTAATTTATTATTATTATTAAAAGAACGTCGTAATAAAGTACGTTATTTGTTAGTCGTTACATTAAATATTTTATTTAAATTACATTCGCGTTACTTGAAATTATAAAAAAAAAAATGTATTACAACAGCCCACCAAATGTACATTATTTATTTTATTAAATATATTAAACAACTTTAATTATTATTGTTGTATTTAATAAATATATTGTTTATTTTAATTTCTTATATCATATTTTTTAAATATATAATAATATATTTATTTAATCTGATATAATTATATGAACTTAAAAATGTGGTGGCCCTAAGAAGGGCCGTTTTAAATTGTCGGTTCTTAAAAGAACCATTTTTGTTGATGTGCCTGTTGTGGCCTCCCATATGTGAATTGATCTGTAAAAATATAATATCATTTAAAATTATGCTCCAACCAAATTTATTATGTATATGAAAACTCTCGAGAAATTTTCTACAAAATATAATGAAACTTATTCCTTTTTTTTACCGTTATTTAACTTACCTTTTTAGTTTAGCACTCTGGACACTGACAGTCTTCAATGTCTCTGGCCATAGGTATGTATCCAATACCAGGATATGCCCTTCCTATGTCCCTCATAAACCTACAGAATTGCTGCTGTATACCACCTTCCCGGTTTAAAATATTAGTGTGGTACATCCACCTTTATTCGTATACTGTATTAGAAAAATACCATGTAGTCGGATTTAAACCTTTTTAGTTTAGCACTCTGGACACTGACAGTCTTCAATGTCTCTGGCCATTGGTATGTATCCAATACCAGGATATGTCCTTCCTATGTCCCTCATAAACCTACAGAATTGCTGCTGTATACCACCTTCCCGGTTTAAAATATTAGTGTGGTACATCCATTCACCAATGTAAGAGGTTGACACTCTTGCACCTAGTTAGCACTCGTTTTAATTCACGCCACGAACGGTAGATGTGTTGGATATGGTAACGATATGGAATTGGTTCCATGTTGGAGTTGTAGTAAGTAATTTATACTAGCAGTATGTTAAATTTACTTTGTCGTAAACATTTAATTTGTTATACTTTAAAAGTTTGATGTACCCACGAATAATAATTTTAAATTGCAAAAAATAAGTAAAATGGGTTATGTTAGGTTAAATGTTTGGATCGATTAAAATCTTTGCTCCTTGTGTGAAAATAGTGTGTTACGTCACCAGTGTCAGGTATATTGTAATATGTAATTACCGCTACCTATATTGTTTTAAATAAATAAATACTTATTAATAACATTTTGATTTTCGAATTGGCAAGAGTACCTACTATTAACCAAATCGTCTTTGAAACTTGTCAAATTTTATGGTCAGTGTTACAACTCACAGAAATGCCGGAACCAATCAGAGAAAAATGGATTGAAATTTCTGAACTTTTTATAAAAAAACAAATTCGGAAATTAATTTTTCCGTTGATTATATATTTAGGCATACTTTCCGAAACGTAAAGTCAACCGCAACATGTGGCGGCAGGTTCCCGACGATTTTAAATCGGTTTCGCCGAATTGGTCCGTCTGGCTCCGATAACGCTGTTTAAATGTTAATTATAGTTGTCTCGGTCGTTTACCGATCGGTTTGCTTATTATCGGCAACCGACAAAACGCATTGTGAGCTGGCACTAGTGTGGACGACGATCGTTTTTGAACTGTGTTTCCGTTAGTTTTGAGTTTTTGACATGGATTTAAATACATTGCTCCAGCCAAATCGCCTATCAATTTTTTCATTAGGATACTTTTTGGGTCCTGATTTTTCTGACGAGGAACGCAGATTGGCTGGGAAGCAGGGCGAAATGATTTTTAAGCATTTTGGTGTGATTCCTGACGATTTTGATGTTCCCGGATGTCACTGTGGAGAACCATTGTATCGTGTCGCAGATGCAACAAGGAAACTTGGTTACCGGTTTAAGTGTTCCAACGGTCACAGATTAAACCCGACTAAAAATACATTTTTAGAATATGTCCATACAGCTGGAGAGTTGGGTTGTAATAAAATAATTCAAATGATTTATTTGTGGGTGGCTAAAGCCAATACAACCACAATCCAACAAGAAGTAAGTATACATTTATTATAATCATACAATAAAATATGCATAGTTTAATTTGATCACACTAAGGTGACAACATTTATTTTAAATAATCAATCTTTATAATCTTAATAGCTAATTTCACATAAAATACATCTAAAATGTCAATATTAGGTTAAAGTGTCTACAGAAACGGTGGTAGCCTACACTGAATACTTCAGAGATGTTGCTTTAAAAATAGCATACCACGATTTTGAGCAAATCGGCGGTAGTAACGATATCGTTGAAATCGACGAAACGCATTTATTTCGGGCAAAATACAACGTAGGCCGGCAAATGGCGTGGAGTGCTGTCTGGTTGTTTGGTATGAATTTTATTGTTTTACTAAAATATAATTTATTACAGTAATTTATATTTATAAATAACGTCATATAATATTTTAGGAGGAATAAGTCGTACTACGAAGAAGGTATTCGGTACAGTTGTTCCAGATAGATCAGCAGATACGTTAATACCTATCGCTCAACGGTACATAGATGACGAAAGTTTTATTTGTAGCGACATGTGGAGGGCATACAATACTTGTGGCCAAATCTTTAGGTAAATAAATAGGCATTATAAAATTAATGCAACACAACGCATTTTAGATTATGAGCAGAGCTAGTAAGATCGAGTAACTTTAGATACTAGATATTTGAAATGTATTTTAGCTATCATTTTTTATTTTTTTCAAAATATTTCAACCCCTTTCAAGTTGTTTACATACATTTTAAAATCTAATCACTTTCATTGTTCTAAAAGGTGATCACAGACACAAAAAAAATATATATAAAATAATAAAAAAAAAAACAAACATCATTGTAAAATCATTACATTCATCGCTCCACACAGAATCTAAAAAATTAAAAATATATTGGTAAGATTTTTTTAAAAGCATTTAAAGTTCAAATTTCGGCAACATTAATCATATTGAAAATTATTT